GATTGCCCTGGGAGGCACCCAAGAAACAAGAATGTCTCTGGTGCATTGTTCCTGATAAAATGCCCCCCTGGTGCCTGGAGGGGCTCAAGCAGGGTCCCTGCCACCCTCCACACTCACAGGTGTTACTGACTGTGCAAAGAATGCAAGAAACCAGAGCAAGGTTAGGGGGGCTCCTCCAGCTGATCAAGTCAAGCCAGTCTTCAGTGCCACAGGATTTTTCTTCCAAGAAGAAGACAAAGGAAAGGCAGAGCACTCTTGCTTGCCTGGAGGTTTCTGCATCTTCCATCAGCTTGAGCTCTAAGCCTCTGTTGCCACTTCTGCCATCAGCCTTTGTTCCTCCAGCTGAAAGTAGGATGGGTGCTGGTAAATCTCAGGGAACTTGCCAGACATCCCCTGGCTGTAGGGTGCTGCTCCTCCCACCTGGACATACAAGATGGGGGAAGGAAACGTCTCTTCCATGTTGACCAAACCTCTTCCCCTTGGAGCCTGGTTAGTCAGAAGAAAATTCTTCCTCTCCCCTAATGTCTTCATTGCAGGACTTTGTTAGGTTTGTATGCACATTCCCATCTCAAATAGAAGGTAGGCCATGAAGGCAGGAACTCCCTGTTCTTTCAGGAACAAAAGCAGAGTGGGCACATGCTGGGCTGTGACTGCAGGGGGAACAAACAGCCAAGTTGTTTAGACAAACCTCATTGGACAGAGCAGTTTTCTCTGAGGTGCTGCAAGTCCTAGGAGTTTATAAAATGTGATGCCATTAGTAATGAGTTGCATGCTTCCCTTTAGGCTGATTCTGTCTCTGGAGGAAAAGAGCATGGATCTCAGAATGCTGGAACAAAGGAACCTGGCGCTGAACAATCAGCTGTCTCAGTTTCATTCTGCTCTTCAGCAGGCTGAACTGGTCTCTTCAAGCCGTGCAGGACAACTGCAGCAGCTCAACACCCAGGTAAGCTGTGCACTCCATCCTCTTCTCCAGGGGCACACAACACCACCTTTGGCATGCTAGTCCCAACCTCTTTCCCCTCCCAGCAGCATCCACATGTTCTTCCCAGGCCTCCTGCTGCTGCACCCTCAGGCCAAGGCTGGATCTGGTGTCTGCTGCCATAGTTTTCCCCCATTCTTTCCTGGGTCCCAGCAGGAAATCTGGGAGCAGAAGCAGCAGCACACTCCTCTGGAGCTTCTCTGTCCCTCTGTTAGCAGTGCTCTCCCTGACAGGATTGGTGCCTGTGCCATTCACTGAGCAATGTGGGGACACAGATGTGGCTATGGCAGGCTGGGCAGAGCGCTTCCACCACAGCTTCCACCACAGCCAGTTCAGCCCGTGTTCAGAGCTGCAGCCTCAAGGGTGCCCCTTGCCTCCCTTTCCCTGTTTTCTCTACCTTTGTCTCTACTGGAATCCTTGGTTCTGCACCTTCTGTTTCTGGTGTATTTCTGCCTGAAGTCATTTCTCCTTCAATGCTCTCCCTACTGCCTGCTCTGCTGCCTCAGGAGCAGCCCAGTCCCTGAGGCTCTCTGCATCCATCTTCCAGATCCAGGCCCTGCAGGATGCAGTGACAGAGAAGGCAGCTCAGCAGGACACTCGAGAGAAGGAGCTGCTGCAGGAGCTGGAAAAGTCCCGAGCAGGAGAACAGAGCTTGAGGGACGCTGTGCATGTGCTGCAGGTTGAGATGTCTGAGCTGCGTCTGAGGCTCCAGAGCTCTGAGGAAAGAGCAGAGGCCATGGCCACACACTGTGAGGCCATGGAGATGGAGCTGAGGATGGCTCAGGCTGACAACAACCAAATCAAGGCCTGCAAACAGGAGCTGCAGACACTGTTGGAGGAAACTCAGCAAGGTACAACTTCTCTCCCATCCATTGCCCCATCCTGTTCCACCAGCGGGGATCTCTGATCCCATGCAGAGGTAAAGGCCTTTGCCCAGAGATGGCAGACAGGAAAAACAACCAGCACGAGACTTATCCATCCAGGCGCCAGTCAAAGTTTATCTCAAGGATGATGCTGTGGCTGGCGGTGCCAACTGGCTCTGCTGTGGCTGATCCCATACACAGCTGGTGCCTTTCAGGTGCTGTGTCTGTGCTAAGCAGCTGAAGCTGGATGCCTCAGCTCAATTCCCCCAAATTTCAGGCCCTGTCAAAGCCTCCAGGCTATTGGCCTCTCTGGAGCAGGGCTGCACAGGCATCCCAGCTGCTTTGTCTCTCTTGGATTGCTCACTCAGCACAAGGCCAAGAGCAAACACACTTTGCTATTCCTCTGAACCTTGCCCCTGCCATTCCTGCTTTTTTCTCTGCCTGGAAGTTTCCTTCATTTCTCTCAGTTTTGGAAGCTCTTGTGGGCTTAAGGCCTGGCAAACCTCGGCAGGCAGAGAAGACAGTGCTGTTGTCTCTGCAGGGTGCCCATCAGTTTACTTTGCTTTGCTTTCTCCCTTCTCTTTCCCCTTCCCTCCTGCAGCAATATGGAGGGCAGAACAGCAGAAGACCTCTCTAGAAACTGCCTTGAAGGAAGAGGCTGTGACTGTTCGTCAGGAGGTGGCATCACTGCAGAGGAAACTGGAGAGCCAGGAGAAGGAAAGGCAGGATGTGCTGGTGAGAATGGCAGATGCCACAAAGGGCCATTTCCTAGCTATGTTTGCACCTTGTGTTACCAGTTCTAAGGAGCACCTTTTTCCAGTTTAACTTTCCTAATTGCATTCTTCTGAACAAGGAGGAAATGATGTTGTAGCCATGTCAAAGCCAGTTAGCACTGAGGCTGCTGATTTTCCTCCATGCTGGAGTTCTGTGCCCTGGAAGCTTTAGTTCTCCATGTCCACACTGTCTCCATTGACATTGCATGGTTTGGGCAATTCCTTGCGTCCAAATCCATGTTCAGATTTCTAAATATCTGGAGCTGGCAGGAGGGATGAGAAGACCTAGGTTGCTGTTAATTGAAAGGTGTTTGGCCTTGGCCGTGTGAGAGCAGGCAGTGGGGAGAGAAGAGAGGAAAGCCAGGTGCTGATGCAGATCAGGACGTGTGCCTGCAAGGGGAGAACTCGTCCTGAGTGGCAGCAGGGAATGACTGATCTGGCCATTGGTGCTGCAAGAGAGGGCAGTGGGGCTCTCGGGGATGCTGCCATGGAAAGTCTACACAGGAGTGTTGGAAAACCACTCCTGTTGCCCCAAGGCCTTGGAATGAAATGCTGAGGGTGTTTGCTCCTCCTTCCTGATGGAGAGCACATCCTCATGGCACTGCCTAAATCCTGCTTAGCATTGACTTGAAATCCTGGCTGCAGTTCTGGCAGCTCGTGCCCAAAGGAACACGGGAGTGGAGCTGCCAGAGGTCGGGGACGGGCAGAAAGGAAGCTGGGATGGGCTGAGCGAGCTGGGAAAGAGGCAGCGTCAAGGGGGGGACCCAGCCAAGGTCTGCAGCAGCCCGAGAGGCAGAGAGAGAGGGGGCAGCACGTGCCTGCCCCTGCAGCAGGAGTCCAGATCTGGTATGAGAAGCAAACCAAGGGAGGCAATGAGTGAGTCTTCTTCTCCTTGTTTTGGCAGCATGAACGGGAATTGTATGAGGGGAAGATGAGAGATCTGGAAAAGAAGATAGAAGTGCATGGACCTACGATGAGAAATCATAAGGGAAGCACTCAGCAATTGGAAGTGGAGAGGGAAGGCATGCAGGAAGATTTGGAGCGTGGGGCTGCTGCTTTGGAGAAATGGATACAGAACACTCAAGTCCTGAGTGATTCACCGAGGAAGAGTGAAATTGCCAAAGGTTCTCTGAAGAAACACGTGGACATCCTGACGGGAAAGAGGAAGAGTGAAATTGCCAAAGGTTCTCTGAAGAAACACGTGGACATCCTGACGGGAAAGACCTGTATCCAGGTGGGTACAGGCTCTGACCTTCAGTCCACTCCAATGACCATGAAGGATTCCAGTGATATTTCCCATAAAGAAGTGGGACTCTATATCCCTGTGAGTCCAGGCCTGCTTGGCCAAAGCAGCCCAGGCTGCAGCAGGCAGCCTTGTCTGTCTGCCTGGCCCCAGCCAGAGACCATTGACTGGCAGATTGTTTCCTGGCACGCCCAGAATGACTGCTACAGCTCTGGAGTTTGCTGTTCAGATCAGCTGCAGGCCAAATGCTGGGCATGGGGAGCTGCTTCTCCTGTGCTCACACAAGATCATGGCAACACATGGGGATTTGGATTTGGTGTGGGAGGGAATGGAGCAGGTGAGCAGGGCGATGGACTAAACCCAGCAGAGTTTTGTACCAAGAGATGTGAGCAGCAACAGATTCTCACCTCGGCTGAGAGAAAAGAACAGAGTGACGACACGTAGAAAGACAAAGTTGAAGACCGGGGTCAGGAAAGAAAGAGCCAAGCGTCTGATGGAAGGTAAATGAGGAGATGCCTTAGTATTGAGCCTGAAAGCACTTTTGGTAAGGCCAGGGAGATGGGCTATGATCCACTAAAATATCCCCTTTAATTCAGGGGAAAGTATAGGGGGATAAAGTGTTCAAACTGTATATGTGACAAAGGCATCCACTGATGAAGCAGTGTAGATGTTGAAAGAGCTGTGATCCCATCAGAAGCTTGAACAGAGAGACACAGAGAGACAGTGATGAAGACCCTTTGCCCCCAGGGAGGGAAGACCTCTGTTCCCAGAGATGAAAATGATTGCAGAGATAAATGAAGAGCACCTTTGGTTTTGAAGAACTCATCCTTAAAAGAATAGCCCATAAGTTGACATAGCCCATAATTGCAACTGTAGAAAGGCTGTGAAAATGGAGGGCAACTTCACAATTGCAGGTTTGTTTTTTTTCCCCAGGCAGCTGCTATTTGTGAAAATGAAAAGCCCCAAGGGAATTGTTTCTTGTGGAGAAGTCTCCATGGCATGGCAAGAGAAAATTCCTCTCCCTACAAGAACTCATGAAAGACTATTGTAGATTTAGTAAGTGATTTTAAATCCCCAGGTGTTGTCTCTGTGTTGTCTGTTGGAAAAGAAGCCTGGCAGGGGGAGGAAAACTGTTCTGAGGGTTTTATTCTGACTCTTTTTATAATTTTAGTTTTGTTAATAAAGTTTTCTTCTGTCTTGGTTTGGAAGACAGGTGTCTGCTAGGGAGGGCAGGAGCCTCCCTTGGAATGAAAATGTAAACCCCCTCCCTCCAAATTACTATAATTTTGAAATCAAGGGTCTCTCAGGCAGAGATCTAGGGATAGGAATAACAGTTCTTTACTATTATGTGCAACAAGGCCAACAACAATAACTACAGCATTAACAACAAAACAGAACCAAGGACCCTGTGACAACCTTCTCAGCCAAGGCAGGTAGGGA